AACTTCAAATATGATTAATGAAATCTTGAAAGAATTAAATTAAACTGGAACTTGTTAAATGGAGTTTTCATATGGTCTTCATCTGGACCGGCTCAGTTATTTATCAGAAAACATTAAAATACAGTAGCACTTCCAGGATGTAAGCTGGTAAAACCTCTGGGGCTCACTACATCACTGAAATTTCTCTTCTATATAACAAACAGCCTGTGTGCTTTAAACAAGATGTCTAAGCAACATCCTTAAAAACAATTCTTCTTTTCTCTTGCTTTACATCTTTGCACATGGCCAAGTATAAGACCATGATCTTGACTAGAAGGTACAAGTATTACTGAGATTCTTAATATCTTAAAGACCAATTTACAAGTTGCCATCACACATTCATTTTTCTGCTTTTAGAAAGATAAAAACCCTGACTTTTGCATAGTTTCTTCTGACACAAATTAAGTAAAAATATGGCTCTCAGTGAAGAAGTCATAGCTGTGTCTGTTATGGCCCTTACCGTTCATTCTTTGCTGTGCCTGCACCTGGCCAATGCAAACTATTTATTTAAGTTAGAAAATAAATGGTTAGGGCATCTTATATGAAGGGTCTTATATTTTAAATACTTCATATCTAAATATTTAGATGTTCTCACTATTTTTATTTTTTGGCAAATGTTTTAAGGTCTGCAGAGAGTCAATCTCTTGCTTCATGTATTTTTTTTAAGGCTAGGTATCTTCAGTGATCTGCAATTCCTGTTTCCTACTTCCATCAAGACCAGCTGTATCACTGAAGCCTGACTGAAGCCTCTAAAGAAGTTGAATCAAAAGATATGGGAATAAGAATTAATTAAAGGAATTAACTGAACTTTGGCTCTGAATGTCCATGGCATTTAAATGAATAAATGAGAACAAGGAGCCATGAGACTGTTCCTCTGCAGTCTATCTAAGGTACTACAAGGATTTCTTTATGAATCCATGCTATTTGAAACCACCATTTTCCTCTACAGACTTTTCAATCCTTTTGAGAATAAGCTATTATCAAACTGAACAATGGTTTTTCTCATCTTTTCCAAGACTTTTGCTACAGGGAGGTATGACTAATAGTGTCTTAACAAACAGGATTTATAACATGTACCAGTATATCCAATCAATCAGCCCTCAAATTAGACCATTACACCTCAACCATTTGGACAGTCTTACACAATTTAAAAACTAGCTTATTTCTGTGTCATTTAAAAAAAAAAAAAAACCAAACCCCTTAAGCAACTGAAGCTAAAGAGGAAATCATTCTGCTGTAAATTCAACGGAGAAGCTTCACAAAGGGCTCTGTACAGTTCACATCGGTTTAAAATCATACGTCTGATTAAACCAAAAGAGATTTTTTTATGTAGGCAAGCATTTTAGAAAGACCTTTCAGATTTTTATTTTGGCACTATAATATTTGTTTTCAAGTCTCATAATCTTATACTGACCTAAATTTAACAGATTAAATGAGAGCTTACTGCAGTTGATAAGAACATTTTAAAACCCTGGAACATCTCTATTTACTGCTCTTTCCATTCTATGGGAAGTGCTTATAACCACTGTAAAATATAAGATGCAGATATACAGCAGTCTCTTTCAACTATAAAATTATTAGAATATTTATTTGCTAAGCAGATTAGATAAGGAGACAACTGCAAGTCCTTGTACCATTGAAATTGTGAGTCTGTATTTTCAGAATGTCTGATCATATATAGGACTTGCATATACCCTACTACTTTATGATCAACTTCTGCCTACACATATCTGGCTTAACCGATCATACACACATTCAACAATGCCAGAAAAGTGTGTGTACAGGTGCTTATAAGAGGCAAGTGATGTGAAACCCTTTGAAAATGAACATCAGACTAAGTGGAAAAAGAGATACACAGTTTCTTCACTTACTTAAAGTGAATGTAATTTGGCAGGATCAGAAGCTTATTTGTAGACTTTACGTAATAGCTTACTGCAGCAAAGGAAATACTTTAGTACTGTAATGAGTGAGGTGACAAAAGGAACTCACTCTGTAAAGAGTGAAGTTCACAAGATATAACACTAGCACTTCACCACAAATTCAGGGCTTCCAGTAAAAGAAAGTGCTTGTCAGTGAAGGGGAATGCAGTCAGCACTGCCTTGATGTGCCATTCATTTTACAGAACATCTCAGAGAAGCTTTTTTGGAAACATAAGCATAAGCAGAAAGCAGGGCAGGCAACAACAGCTGTGGCAGCTGTATTCAGTATTGGGCTTAGATAAAAAAAAAGGTGAGAGCCAAACTGAGATAAATACACTTAAGCCCCAGTACCCATTCTTCACCCAGAAAAGGACTGAAAGTGTGCAGCAATTAAAAAAAGACTTTTAGGAACGTGAAGGAACTGAAGGAGGTTCCTGGGAGTGCGGAGGAAAGGGATGCAGTGCCCAAATGGGCTCTGGGAGGGTTTTTTCAAATGCCAATGGTTAAAAGTCTTTCTGTAACTTCAGCTCAGAAAAAAACCCAGCTCACATCAGCATAGCAGACTACAAATAAGATCCACATTTAACCCTGTATTCCTAGGCTTTCATCTAGGTCTACAGGAGCTAGAAAAGCTTACATGTAGCTTACATATTTAGATTTATAGCTCAACTAGCATGAGACCAAATAGGATGTTGCACAAAGGTGTAAAGACAGAACTGAGGTAGTTTTATTCTCATTATTGTGTATAGCTTTGGTTGACTTACTTTTAAACTTTATTTTAAAACAAAGTATTTCTGAAACATACCAATAAAACAAAGATACAGTAATCTGCAATATAATGAAACCACTTTGTTGGGGGTTTTTGGTGTTGTTGTTTGGGTTTTTTTTTCTCCTTTTAGAGATTTTACCACAAAATGGCAATAACTTTTTGGAACCAGAAGGATTGCACTTCTGCATGGAATAGGCAGTGCTCATGGAAGCTTTAGCAGTGCACACAGCCTGACCACAGCTCAGAGCCTGGGCTCAGGCTCGGGCTCAGGCTCCCTCTCTCTCTCTCTTTCTCTCTCAGAAACCTTCAGTTGAGATTCATCAACCCAGTGAACTCTATTTCCATCTCAGTCAAATCTTGTTTTTAAGGTTTGACCAGTTTATATGTATAAATCCAAATGTAAACCTTGGACCTAGAATTATACAAGCCCAGATTTAGCATATCATGGAAACAAAAGTTGGGTCATTGTAACTCATGGCTGCATTTTTTGCTAAATAGGATGATAATGTTTAACTTAATAATCAGAGAGAGTTTTAGCAACTGTAACCAACATAACTTCTCTTCTCTCTGTCTCTCGCCCCTTCAGCCACCCTTGGCCCTTTCTATGCCCTGTACCAAAGCCCTCTCCCTCTGCACACTATCAGACCCACTGCCCTTGTCACTACAGCCTGGTTTTCTCTAAGGAATAGGCACGGTATTAAGTTAGGCTGCAGTTTTCACAGGAATTGACAGGTTTGTACATTATCTGTACTTTTTCTTAGCTATCACTTTTGGGGGATTAATAATAACACTCAGTGGACACCCTAAAAATAAAGAAATAATGACAGTCATTAATAAAGGTGAAGAGCATTGCCAATACTGATTATGGCAAACTGCTTTGACATTTTATTTTTATGCTGAGGAAATTTGCTCCCATGGAATTGAAATTACACCATTAATTTCTCTCACACTGGCAAAGCCAAGAGCCATCACATAGTAATCCTTTCTAGGACCCACCAAGCTATACTGGGATTCAACTGCAATGGGTTG